TAGCCAGAGTAAGATGAAACATTACTTACAGGAAAACAAGAAAAACTGGAATTCCAAGAAATGGAATGACATGTTGAAAGCACAGAAATAAAAGTAAAACTGTAACCTAGAACTCTATATTTAGCAAATGATCCTTGAAAATCGGGTATGAAAAGAAGACATTTTCAGATGAACAAAACCTAAGAGAATTAGTCACCGGCAGACTTACAAGAAGGAATAAAGACAGAAATGATATATGTGTGGAAAATAGAAAAGACTGGTTTTGCTTAGTTTTCATTTCCTTAATAGCAAAGGACTGTGAAAAAAAAGTTGCATCATTTTAAGGAGGCATTTATAAATGGGTGGAAGAACACCACCAAAATAATTAAAAGGACTATTGAGGGTATAAACACAGCTGTCATTACGGTTCTTCCATTCGTGGCACATGAAGTATAAAGTGGAATAATATTAATTCTAAGCATACTGTCATAGGTTAAGGATGCATACTTTAAGTGCTAGAGCAACTACTTGAAAAGTACAAAGAGGCTGAAAATAAAAAGCCAATAGAAAAAATAAGATGAAATCCAATGAAATATTTAATGAACCCAAAAGGTAGCAGGAAAAAAAATGGATCGGAATAAATAGGAAACTAATTGCAAGACAACAGACTTAAATCCTATTGTGTCAAAAATTATGTGAAATGAAAATGAATAAAACACTCCAATTAGAAAGCACAGATTCTCACAATGCATTAAAAAAAAAAAAAAGACCGCCTACAAAAGATAGCTTTAAATATATAACTAGAGATGGGTTATGATAATAAAAGGAAGGAAAAAAGATATACCACACAAAATGGTAAGAAACACATAAGAACGCTGGTGTGGCTAGATTAATATTAGACAAACTGGACATTCAGATAGGGTTAGTACCAGAGATTAAGACGGACATGCCTTAATGAATGCACTGATTTAACATGGAAACATAACAATCTTAAAAGTGTATATACTGGGAAGGCTGGGCGGCTCAGTCGGTTAAGCTTCTGACTTCAGCTCAGGTCATGATCTCACGGTTTATAGGTTCGAGTCCTGCGTCGGGGCTCTGTGCTGACAGCTAGCTCAGAGCCTGAAGCCTGCTTCAGATTCTGTATCTCTCTCTCTCTGACCCTCCCCTGCTCACGCTCTCTCTCTCTCTCTCTCTCAGAAATAAATAAAATGTTAAAAAAATAGAAAAAAGTGTATATACTTAATAACAAAGCTCCAAAATACATTTAGAAAAAACTGACAAAACTAAAGAGATAAATAGACAAATCAGTCGTATTTGGAGACTTTAACACTGCTATCTAGGTAATAAATAGAACAAGTTGACTAAAACAAAATAAAACAAAACCAGATCTGAAAAATACAATCAACCAACTTGACCAACTTGATATTTATAGAACACTACCACTAATACCTGCAATATTATATATAATATGTAATGTTATGTGTATGACATTATTTTCAAGTGTACTTGAAACATATATTTAAATATACCATAAAATGGCCTGTAAATCTCTTTAATTTCAAAAGACAAAAGATTCTTACAGCAGATATTCTCAGAGCATAACAGAATCTTAAATCATAAGTCAATAACAATAAGATATCCAAAAAAGCACAGAATACTTGGAAATTAAACATTCTGTTGATTTCTCTCTTTATGTCCATTAATATCTGACGTATTTAGGTGCTCCAGTGTAAACATTTATTCTAGACAACACTCCAATAATATTCTAAATAACAAGAGAAATCACAAGGGAAATTAGAATTATTTTTAACTGAATGACAATTAAAACAAGCAAAAATTTGGCCCTTTAAAAGATTAATAAAATTGGCAGACCCTCAGCAAGACTCTTTTCTACCAAAGAAGAAAGAAAGAGAGAGAGAGAAAAGAAAAGAACAACAGAAAAGAAAACAAAATGGACAACACTAGCAGTAAAAAAGGAGATATAACTACAGACCCTATAGACATAGGGATATTATACATTTTATGTCAATAAATTTGGCAACTCAGTATATTTATACAATGGAAAGCCCCTAAGCAAACTCTTCACACACAGAGAACAACATGGATAGATCCCACAGCTATTACCTTGGAGACGGAAGGAGAAAAAGCACCAAAGAGTGTAAAGTATATGATGTTCTAAAACCAGCAAAGCCAATCTATGATGACAAAATCAGAGCACTGACAGCAGCTGGGACAGAATGTAAAAAGAGTGGAATCTGAAAGCAAAGAGGAACAAAGAATATTTCTGAGATCATGGAAAATACAAATTATAAAAAGTCATCATATCATACACTTAACAACTCAATGTGTATAAATTTGCCTCAATGTAGTTGATTTTTAAGGGGAAAAAAAATCAATAAAAAAATACCAAAGAAGTAGAGCTGTAACTTACATAAATGTAAATTTAGTCCAACATTTTTAATAATTCTTCAAAACATACTTTCTATTGTATGCCTCCTTAAAACAACAGAAACCATAAAGTGTGGTCCAGGAAGTATGCTAGATGCTTTCATTTGCTATTTCCTTGCAAAGGTCCTACATGGTGCCTTGAGAGACAGCTGTGTTACAGCTGAAAGGCAATAACCCTGGAGCCAGAAGAGCTGGGTTGAAGTAATGACTATGCATTATCTGTTAGATAGATATATGACTTAAGACATATATATGACCTAAGACAAGTTACCTTTTAAGTGTCTTCATCATCATGGGGTTGATATGAAGATGTAAAAATATTATTTTAAAGTATCTGGAAAAGCACAACACAAATACAAGTTTTATCATCCATAGTAAGTGCTCAGCAGACACTGATTAAAAGAAGAAATGAAAGAGATAAACAACAATGCGGGCAGGGATACAAGCAGACAGGGAGAGACAGGGGAGAGCATGTTCCTACTCACACTTGTTTTCTGTGGATGAGCAGGGGGGAGGGCAGTACAGGGGCATTCAGGCATGATGACATAATACCATGTTCCCATCGTGAGCAGTAGGTGCAGTGAGTAGGACACGGCTGGAATAAATGAAGGTCACAGCAAAGGTGACCTGGATCACAGCATTCTAGGCTAGCACTCCCTTGTCCTGGCAGAGCATGAGTCACTTGTCTACCTCAGACTCCAAGGGGCTTCACCGAGGCTCCTAAGAGTCGCAGTGAGTCATCTCTTGTGGACCTCTGAAGTGCCAACATAACAAATGAGCGACTCTTTAAAGTGTTCCAGTCCTCCTTATCCTTAGATTTTCATTTTGCTCTAAATGAGACAATCAGAGCAGAGATCATCTGGATAGAGTGGCAATGAGCAGAGCGGCAGCTTTGTGAAAACCTCGCTGGGTGATTTTCAATAGAGTTCCATGGAATAATGCTTGGCCCGACAGTACTCAAAATGTACCCGAGTATAAAAATCTAGAGGGTGACTACAAAAGAGGCCCAGAGTGAAGACCTGAGAGGTCATGTATCTTCACCCAAACAGGGAGCCACTGGTAAGGCACCCAGAAATTCAATACTGTACTCAATTACAATACGTCATCTGGCCGGGGTTTCAACAGAACGTGATGGGGGCACACAGAGGAGATGACGAACCAGGTGGCAGGGGAGGAAGCCGCGTGGGGCGATACTCTTGGAATTACTTGGGCCAATGGCATTCCAGGCAGGGGACACAGCATGTATGAAGAGTTGGAAAGGTCTGGATGGTGCCATCTGCAGGGCACAAGGAGTTTCATAGAGCTGGAGCATACTGTGTGAAGGGAAAATGAGGAGACTGTAGAGACACAGGCAGGCTCTTAAGTAGGACCTTTTCTTAAAGTCAGCCTGAAAGAATTTACATTTTACCTGGAAGATGAAGGGAAGCCACTAAAGGAATTTTTTTTTCTTCAAGTGGGCAGGCAGGCCAGATGCCCCTTGGGGTGAGCTTGGGCCTCGGAAAGTGATGTGAGAGTGGAGGGTGGGGTGTAGAGTACAGCGTCTGGTGAAGGTCCTGTGTGTGTTGTTTCTTATTTATGTAAGTGAACGACATTTTCCCTCACATCTTGCTGACGAGAGGTCTCCTCATATACCCTATACCTTCACATTGTACTACGTTGTAAAAGAATCCTAAAACCCACTGGATCCTTAGGTGTCCTGCTGACAAATATTAGCTCAAGTCTACAGGTGCACAGGTATCTTTCTTTGTCTCCAACAGGGTTCGGAGAGGGCGTAAGCCACGGAAAGATTTTAAGCAGGCAGTACCAAAATCCAATTAACAATTTTAAGGGATCGTTCTGGCAACAGGGTGGAACACAGACTGGAAGAGGACAAAAGCGGAGACAGGGAAAGTATTTAGGAGACTGAGGTGACCCATGTCGGGGATGGCGGTGGGCGAAGACAGCAGAACGCACGGTGGAGAGAAGATGCATCAGACGCGGTGAAGGGGCACAGTTCTCAAGGCTCGTCCCCTGGTTTATGTGAAGATGAGAAAAAGAAGGAATCAACCCGGACTCCCAGGTGTCAAGCTTGGATGTATGAACGGACAGGCCTGCTGCTCATCGAGATGAAGAATAAGCTCAACCTGCACTTGAAAGCATAAAAAGCAATGATACTGCACTACATTTAAAAAGAAAAATGAACGCAAACAAAACACAGGCTGTATAGACGCACATCTCTGCGAAAAACCAAACACTTAAATTCACAGAGAGGAATAAGTCAGAGTTAAAGAAATTCCTGTCTAACATATGTTGATGAATGAATAATCAAAGAATAACAAGAAGCCAATTCACTAACAAGAGAGCCATCTACTGCCTTCCAATGATAGTGCAGCGATGAAATGCCACAAAAAAAAATGTGGAAGAAAGCCAAGTTTGTGACCACTTCACACTGTACATGTATTCACAAAGTATCTGCCACAAAAATTTCCGGGGTTAGCACTTTTTAGCTAATAGCCAAATCTTTTCACTTACTCATTTCTCCTAAAAATATCAATTCAATATGTATCGCCATTTGAATATAGAACACTTACCTGCCATCATTGCTATCATACTGGCTTTATAGACATTAGTAAGAGATCCAAGTTCTCCTGTTGCTAAGATGGTTTTGAGATGAGCCTCCCCGCAGGCCTTGCGAAACTGACGAATCTCATCATACAGCGCTGGGGAAGGAAAGAATTGAGGCAGTTACAAAGCAGGCAAGTGATAACATAACTTGGCAGCCATTTGGAGCTGGTAGAACCCATCTCAGATTTAGGAAACATAAAACATTTGTCACTTTCTAAAAATCACCTCAATTTAATATCGCCTAGAGCATTCTGTTGCCATTCACATCCTGTTACAAGAAATGCTTAGTTTGCTACCATGAAACTTTCTGAGCCCCTGCCTGAGGTCCAGAACCGTGCAGCTTTTTAAATTATCATTATAATGACATGCAAATTACAAATAATTTCTACCTCTCCCATATGTTGGTTACTTACAAGAGAAAAAGACATTTATCCACCATACATATGGGGATGCACCGCTTTGCAAACTGAAGAATCCTCAGGTCCTTATTAATTCTTCCATTCACACATAATACATTCTCTTGTTAGAATATAAAGCAGGCCTTTCCTGAGAGCTCTGCTAATGACAATAAAGACATAATAGCCTTCCCCACTCTCTGCCAGGGTTATGTGTCTATATATCTGACTAAAGAGCCCTGAGCCTAGCCAGGTACACTGGATGTATGTGCACAAAGCCAGCTGTAGAGGGACTCACAGGGGCAGCCTTGAATCTATTAACCCCTGGCCCCCAGTACCAAATCTGTCTTTTGAGGGCTCCACATAGCACCCTGAAAGCAGATTTTTGAAGAATATGCATTAAGAAAGAAAACTATACTCATAACAAAAAGAAAATCAAGCGGAGAACATTTCATACTCAAAGAGAACTGACAGAATTTTAATAAACAAAATCAGTATAATGAGTATTAAATTTTTGAAAAACTACTTAGCATAGCCTTCTGTCATGATTGGCTCTTACCCTGCATCAGGCTGGTTGCATTCAGTCCTTGAACTTGGGCTGTTACTACTACCAGGGCTTTCTGTTCCTCTGCGTGTGTGTGTGTGTGTGTGTGTGTGTGTGTGTGTTGTAGGAAGTAGTTCTATGAGCACATGGACTAAACTGAGCAGGAAAGAAACATCTGTACTAAAGGTTAGGGTTAGGGGAAGCAGTTTTTAACGTGGAGATGAGACTTCCTTAATTCACAGGTTTACTAGAGTACATGTAAAAGACTAAAAATTGGTCACAAGTCAGCAAACTCAGTCAAAATCGTGAAAGTTGTAACACAATGAAGAAAACTCGCCTTCCCGATCTTAGAAAATCTGAACTTGAAGCTCAAAGTGAAAACTGAACACAAATAAAAGCAAAAACTCCATTACAGGATGCTTGCTGAAGTTTAGAGCTTGTCACCATCAAAAGATGGCACCCACAGAAGGTTTTTCAAGAAAGGGTGGAATACTCTTACAAATCCCTAATAATCAGTGGTTTTGAGCATTAGAGACGAGCTGAGATGCCACACCGCCTACCTCACCCTGCCCTTCCTACCCAAATTGTGAGAAATCATCTCACCCACACATCCCATATGACAACATGGGTGAGAATGGTATAGACAGCAACAACTGCGTGGCAATAACAATTTATATTCTTTTAACTCACGGAATGAATCTTAGATGGAATGACATTTCCTGAGTTACTGAATCTAAAAACAGAAGATTGTTCTCTAAGAACTACTGACAAGGAAATCTCTTGATCTAAAAATTCAAGAATACTACCCTAGAGTTAACTTGCAATTTAATTAATGATTTTTCTTCCGCAGTGCAGTGCTGCCATCAAAAGCAGGCTCGAGAGTCAGACCAATGTGGATTTAAATCCCAACTTCCATCTCTTCTTGTGTGACCTTGCGCAAGTTCTTCTCAGCCTCAGTTCTGTCCTTGAAGTGTCAATAATAATACTTACATTACAGGGTTATTATGAGGATTTAAAGGTAAGATATATACCAAGTACTCTGCACATTGTCTGGCTGATTGTAAGTACTCAAAAAGTGTAACCATTATTCTTAAGCTCAGAAACCTAATGAAATGAGTTTTAATTAAGTGTTGTGTGATAAAACCCAAATCTTATTCACAGCCTGACCCAACTCCTTGCACTGCACCAAAATCTTGTTATATGGATTAGTGCTGAAAATCAGTGAGCCACCAGATAAGGCTTGAAATGTTTTATTACAACGTTTGATCTGTACAACAAAATTCTGAAAACATTGATCCCAATCATATTTAAGAACAAAACTATCAGCCTTTTTCTAAAGAGTATTACCTTTTCATATCCAGTCCATGTCTTCACCTACAGTTAAAATTAACCAGGAAAACAAACAAACAAACAAACAAAAAACAGATGTACTTTACGACTCAATTATCAGCCACCTGGAATTATTATGCTCTGTAATCCATGATCCAAACAGAATGAACCCAAAATAGTCACTCAGCGCATACCCGCATTTAAACAAATATGTAACCAGTGCCTTCTCATTCTTTAACTGCCAACTCCTCAAATCCTTTCACTGACCTATTTCACCACATAACAGGGTCAAGTTTTTCTGAGCAAGTATCTTAATCTTTAGAGTTCAACTATTGAAGTTGCTTGTCATTTGTTTTTTCCTGTTAGTGTTCTGCCCAGAGTATACTGGAGCAATTCAATCAAAAAGCACACTGGACTTGTCCTTTGTAAAAATGTGGCCTGGACTCCCAACAAGCAAGTGCTTCTACCTGGGCCTCTGAACCTTACTGAGTTATGCAAAGATGACAGTGCATTCAAGATGTTCATTAGTATTACTCGTGTGACATGTGCAAGAGTCCCGTGGCCCCATGGCCACCCGCCCGCAGCATGGTACCCGTGCCGGCCAGTGACGGCCACGCCAGAAGCGGCCCGTAACCACACTTCCCACGGCACACCCAGCTGTATTCTCTGCTCCCCAGGCTTTCACGGTCCCATTTGTTCTCTAAGCCTGTTTTTTCCAGGCTTCTTACTGACTCAGTGCATTAGTCCGTATTCTCCTAACAGCTGCCTTTTCAGTTTAACTTAATCTGAGCTGGTTTCATTAGTTTCCAGCTCATAACCCTAGTATAACAAATATTTACTGAGAAGTCGGATATAGTGTGGGACAAGGGGCATGGGTGCCCCAACCGCCTGGGGTTCATATTCTAGCTCCAAAACTAATTTGTTGTTTGATTTGGGCAATTAACTCTTAAACTCTCAGTTTCATCTTCTATAAAATGAGGATAATAGAGGTATGCACACCTCATGGAGTTATTTCAAGTATTAAATTAGACTAATATGTATAACGTGCTAACGATGGTACCTGGGACATGGGTTACTGCTCAAAAACTGTCAGCTACTCGTTTTCCGGGTGCTGGCGTTGGGGATGGTGTTGTTACCGTCCCTGCTGAGTGCGTACTGGGTTCAGACACACAGGGACTTATAAAAGCAGAGGACACCATGATCTATGTTCCTTAAAGAACATACACACAACCTCTTTGGGGCTTAGAAAGCATGCTGGGGGGGAAATGTTTATTATGTCACAAACATTTTCTTTTTAACGTGGAGCCCATGCTCCCAGACTCCTGGAATGAGAGGTCTGTTACTTGCTGGTTATGTAAATTTACAGGAATCATTCAGTTTTCCTAAGTTCGATCACTTACAGAGCCTCAGTGTGCTTACGTGTTTTTGTAAAGATTAGATAAAACAATACATGTGGCGAGGACAGAGCAAGGCAGCTAGTAGGCATTTAATCATTCAATACTAGATTTCCATCTTTTTCTTTATATACTTCCAGAAATGCAAAAGTAACTTTAAAAAACAAAACAAAGTAAGCACTGTCTTAATACTTATGAAAGCATAATTGGAATTTACAAATTTAACATATAAGGAAAATAGACTACTTCACTCCAACACAAACAACGGAAGCCACAAATAAGCATTATTAGTGTCCAGGTGGTTCTGAGCACCTTGGCATCACAGTGAGAGATGAAACATGCAAATCAAAGTAACATGATGGCTGAAGTGTAACCGTCAATCTCAAATCATAATGTCCTTCAACATATTCAACTGTCATTTTCCTTTCAATATAAATGAGCAAAACAATGGAAAAACAAATGGGTGGATTTTCCTCCACATTAGCAGGAAATGACCGCAGGCTGTGGATTTATATGATTGCTACTGGAATACACATGTGGAGGAAGAAATCACAGTGGAATTAAGTTCAATAGATCCTCTTTCCAAAAAGACTCTTCATGAGGAGTAGCTACTCAAAAGAATGAGAAACCCCTAAGTCTTCAAAGCATCTTTCTTCAAAAATGCTCAGTGTTTTCTACACATCATTTAAACATCCCTGTGGGGCAGCTGGTAGCTATCTTCACATTTCATATACGAAAAGTGAAGTGTGAGAGATGAACGGCTTGCCTAAAATTTCCTCACACTTTGCTGCCTCTGTCCCACCACATGCATATACACAGGCAAGTACATACATGTTGTCGATACAATACGTTCTCAAGGACATGAACTGAAGAACTTAGCACAGTATAGTAATCAAAACCTAGAACCTAAAGGGACATTCACTCTCATTTAGTTCAAATTACTAACATTACAGATGAGCCTTATAACCCCAGGACCTGATTTTTATTTTTCTAGGGAAAACAAAGTTGAGGAAATTGAAAAGTTCCAGGATAACTCAGAAACATAAAGTACTTAATTTTGTATGACTTAATATACTAAAAAGATCTGTAACTTCCTCTATAAGCCTTCCGATGGGATCAGAACAGCACATTATGTTGTAGAGAAGTTCACGTGTCTGAATCAGGACTTTTCTACACTTCCTTGCCCATTAATTAGCTGTGTCACTGGGAAAGTTACGAAACTTCTCCAACCATCATATTTCTACTCATGACGGGATAGGAGATCTTTACTTTTAGAGCTCAAACGCACCTTAAATCCTGGAAATAAATGTGAAAGCAATTACTTAAATGATTATGAAGATAATCAATAAATTGTTTTTCTCTTGGTTCTACCAAGAGATATAAATGAAGACAAACTTTGATTTGCTTTAAAATGCTACACTGTTGTAATTACA